ATATATATATATACACTTGCATTCGTTACCTTTTTAGGACCATTTCTGGTATACACACCTACCTTGTCAAGATCAGTAGTCCTTATGGGGCCAGTCCTAATATGGTGGAACTCCATTTCTGAGCTGGGGGTTTGGTTTAGGACTAAGGTGTGTTTAGGCTAGGCTTAGGGTTAGGTATATGCTGGGTTGGGGGTGGGGTAGGTTTAGGGTAAGGGGTCAGGTTTGGGCTATAGAACCAACTGGAAATGAATGGAAGTCAATGAACAGACCTAATAAGGATAGAGATACAAACACGTGTGTGTATGTGTTGCAGATTATTGTTACCTTTAAGGACCATTTCCTTATAAACACCTACTATGTCAGGACCCATAGTCCTTTTGGGGACCAAAAACCAGTCCTAATATGGTGGAACTCCATTTTTGGATGGTGGGTTAAGGCAGGATTTGAGGTGGGGTTAGAGTAAGGGTTAGGCTACAAAAATATATGGATGTCAATAAATGGTCCTAATAAGGATAAAAATACAAGGTGGTGTGTGTTTATTTACATATTCTAGTTTGTGCAAAAGAAAACAAAACAAAAAAATGGGGGGAAATTTTGCCTTGCAACTGATAAGTTTTTCCACATCTTCCTCTCGCACGAGACACAGGCAGGGAGATGAAAAAGAAAAACCATCAGAATTATTACTTTTTGTCTTCTTTCAGAATTTAAACCAACCTTCACAAATCAGTAGTATGTTGTTGTAACTGAAGCCCATTGGACATTCGCAGCGGAAACTTCCGATCTGGTTGATACACACGCCGTTGGCACAGATGCCAGGGATTTCTCTGCACTCGTCAATATCTACAGAAAATACAAACATCCACATTTTCAAACGTTCCCCTTCTTGGGTAATGATTTGAATGATTATACATCAACTTACCAACTGGTTTCCCAGTGTGGATGTCAATGATGAATCCAGGAGCCAAGTTACCACACAGAACTTGATACTGAGCTGAAAGAATCATCACAAAAGAGATTTGTTTACTTCAGTTTAGTCCACTGGTTCATGTGACAAACATGAGCAAACAGGACAATAAACATTTCCATCAATCACTGTTTAAACAGGTATTTTAGAGTCTGTAGTGAAACTGACTGGTAGCAGGAGTAGGACAGGGCTCGCAGGGCTTATTCCAAGCTTTTCCCACGTTGTAGGCGCAGCAGCACATCTTCTTGGTCATGTTGAACGACAGCTCGTTCTCACACGTGTCGTTGAAGTTGCGGTAGCACACGCTTTTTCTCATGTCTGCGTTAGAGTTGAAAATAAATAAATAAAAAAATCTGCCACATGCGTCGACACGTTAAGAGTTGAGTTTATTGAGGTGAGTGTCTCACCCATGCAGTTGTTTCCTCCATTGACCTGCATGTATTCAGGGGGGCACACGCATGTGTAGTTGCCCAGAGTGTTGTAGCACGTGCCGGGCCCGCAGATGCCAAAATGAGCAGAGCACTCATCAATATCTGGAAATAATAATATGATTAGACAAATCAAACGGTGAGCGAAAGTGATCTTTTTTTATTAATGTGGTATAAAAAGGAAAGCTGAGGAAATACCTTCACAGATGCGAGTCTCTTCGTTGAGATAGTATCCTGCTGGACACTCACACTGAAAACTACCAAATGTGTTGATACAGTTTCCACCCTGGCAGAGACCTGGTAGCTCCATGCACTCGTCAATATCTACAAAACAAARAGGAAAATTAAATCTACTTTTGCCAGTTGTGTTATTTTTGTCAAACTGACATCATTATTTCCTAAACACGAGGCTGACCCTATTCTGCTTAGTGATCAAGATCAAAGGATTTACCTTCCAGGAGAACAGTGATGGGGTTGGGTCTGAACCCCTCCCCTCCCGGACAGAGGGTCTTATATTCCGCTACGAAACAGAAACACGTAAACATCAGTTTCTGCAAAGTGACATTTGTATTCACCGTAGATTATCTGTGGTGCGTACAGGAGTTGGACATGGGGCAGAGTTCACAGGGGTTTCCCCAGGCTTTCCCATCRGAGCAGCAGCAGGAAGCTCGAGTCACGCCCACGCCAATCTCTGCGCTGCAGGAGATTCCTCCATCGCCACGGGGAAGGGTGTCCAAGAAGCAGTTACCAACACGGATATCTGAGAGGGACACAGGATAAAATGCAGGGGCGTCAACATACATTCTACATGCACACGACTGTGTATTTCGTTCAAGGTGGATTAAGGGTGGCTTGAGTTGTGCACGTAATTCCACAGCTTTCAGTTCAATGCCACGCTCTTTGTGCCGCATGCTGTGTTTAAACTGCAGCGCTTCTACTCGCTGAGGAGGGCAGCTGTCAGGTGCAGGGAACAACTCTGTCACCTGTGGTTCTGTCTGCAGTATGTTGATTTTTCTCCAGGTGCTTGGATTTCCTCCCACAGTTTCAAAATATGCATGTTAGACAAACTCGTTCTAATTGGGCAATGTCTGAACCTGTCTCCATCTTAGCCCAAAAATGGATTAGTACCAGAAAAATCTAATAATATTATTGCGATACATGATTTGATTTGATTTGATTTTGATTTATTTATTTAACAGGAAAAGATTATTAAAAATCAAGCCTGACTCAGCTGCAGCACATAAAACACTCAGAAATACAGCATCACAACCACATCATTATACACCATAGACACAAAGACAAACAAGCATWCCAAATTTCARRAAGRCAGCMTTTGCAAAATAGGACGTCTAAATATGAGCACAACAAAAAGTGTCCAGCAGATGGCAGACAAGATTCTTCTTAAAGGGCTGTAGTTTTGAAATGGACTTTATGTTTTGAGGAATGTCATTCTACACACACTACTACTAAACACACTCTACTGCACAGCTACATATATCTGCCGCCACCGCTGCCATCTTTTTTGCGTACATAATAAATATTTGGTCCTTATCTTTTGCATTTTTGTATTTACACTGGTTTTATGATTCTGCATTATAGAAGACTATAATATCAGCACCACTTCCCTGATAATCAGCAGGTTCAGGACTTGTAAAAAAAATTATTGTTATAATGTCACTATTGTGAGTAATACAAGAGACTCATAAAAAAGTATTCTAAACAACCACATCATAGCAGCTGAGTACCTTTTGAAGAATCAAATGACTCAATACCAACTCTAAATAAATATACATTTCCAGGCCATTTCAGGTGTATATATATCACTTGTCACACAGTATACTTCCTTGAGGATGGCATGGTTATTTCATTAAACACTTCTCATCTGTAGATGTGAGTGTGACCCACCCACACAGCCCACTCCAGTGGGGTTGAGCTCAAAGTCAGCAGGACAGTTGCACTGGTAACTTCCTGGTATGTTCACACAGAGCCCGTTGAGGCAGTTCACATGGACAGCACACTCATTAATGTCTGCAACACACACAAACACACATTTTAAACTTTGCAGCTTATTTAGTTTATATGTTGTAAGTATAAAGACCAAATCTTCATTTTTATTTTTTTACAAAACGTTGTTGATTATATTGTTTTCTGAGGAAAGTCAAAGACAAAGCCCAATTTTGAGCTCTATTGATCAAATTTAACAGCTGAGAAACCAGAGTATAACTGTTTTAGCTTTGTTCTTTGGGTTTGACAAAAGAATCATGAGGTTTACTATAACAAACATCAACAGTTCTGCGTCTGTTCAGTCCTTCAGTGCAACACTTACCTGTGCAGTTCCCCCCACTGCGGTCCAGTTCGTATCCTTCGTCACACACACAGCGGAACATCCCTGGAAGGTTCTGGCATGTTCCAAACACACAGATGTTTTGGAAATTACACTCATCAATGTCTGCAGCAAAAACAGAGGGGAGAAAATGTTACTTTCTTTTTAACCTGAGTGGAAAATCAAGAACAACAAAGCTGAAGGAAACACACCTTGACAGGCCTTGCTGTCTTCTGTAGGAGTGAAGCCCATCTCACACTCGCAGCGATAGCCTCCCGGAGCGTTCAGACACTGGCCGTTCTCACACAGGTTGACGTTGTCTGCACACTCATCCATGTCTGAAACATACATGTGTTGTAACATACAGTATAGAACAGATGCATGGCTTGTATTGCCAATCACCTTAAAAACTGTTTAAACTTGTGTTCAGGCTCACAGATAAACAGTTTTCTTYCCCCTTTTTTTGACTGTGGGGTTCATATTTTGAGTGCAGTCTTTTTTAAGTGTTTGTTTTTCATCATTTATTTGAGGAAATGCTCTGTTGTAATGATCTTACCAGAGCATGAAAAGCCATCTCCATTAAAACCCTCTTTGCATGTACACCTGTAGGACCCCGGTGTGTTGACACACTCAGCGTTTGGGTGACAGTTGTGGTCCTCTGAGGAGCATTCATCGTAATCTGCAAGTAAAAGGAAGATTAAAGAACTCAGCAGCAGAATAAAAAGTTTATTTTCAATCAGGTGTGTTTTTATTTAAACGCACATTTAAAGACAAATCTATCTGATTTACTTGAAGCTGAGATTATCCGAGCACGAACTCACCTATACACTTGATCCCGTCTCCCACCCAACCATCTCGACAGCGACATTTGAAGCTTCCGGGTACGTTGATGCAAGCAGCGTGCATATCACAGTTATGAGCTCCGATCTCACACTCATCAACATCTGAAAAAGAGAGCCAACAAATATTAAAAACAAAACTGCATTGCAGAATGGCACAACAAATTTAACTTCTACATAAGGGCTAAACAACTACATTTCTCAGGGGGGCACAATAACTCAAAGGCAACAGCTCAGGCGTGAAAGTGTGTGTGAAAACGAACACCAAACAAACCCTGTTTGATTGACAAACAAGGGGGAGGGACATCAATGGACTGATTTGATATAAATGAAAGTTTGTTTGGCCAGTGACAAATTAAATTTTGCTACTCCTAATTTTGCATAAGCACTGAAAAGCTACTTTAAATGAGCTCACGAGCTACTGGAGACCCCTGATGTAAAAGAACAAGTAGTGTCTTTTACCTTTTAAATTGGTTTATTTTGCTGCATTGAATCATACATTTAAAGTGATTTGCAAACTATTTTTTAACAAATCAAGTAATTAAAAAAACAAAAAGTGTTTGTTTAATTTTTTAAACACCACATTGGCGGGCCGGATTGAGCAGGCCCCAATTAAATACGCATGTTTTACATGTCACTTTTACACATAAATGCATCTATTCCTCATGATAAAACATAATTACAATATGAAAGTTAATTTCAGGAAGTTTAAAGCTATTTGGACATGGCATTGACAAGAATTTGTAAGATTGATGAAGGAAAATATATATTTCTCATAACAAGAAATTAAATAGAACCACATTTTAAAGTTAATTACAAACCTACATTATTATACCTATTTATTCAAGGTTTTTGTCTCATACATTACTTACTTAAAAAAAGACTACCTTACTATATTTTACAATATCAATATCTTCTTATAACTTAAAAAAATCCTTACTTAAACAAATTTGCAAAAATAACACAAGTGTTTGGGTTTATTAATCCTAATAATCATAACCTGAGTATTCTTGTTCAGATTACGGCTCCAGTTTAATGATTCTCAAACCACTAAGATTTCATTCTGTTAGCTGTGCTGCTCAGGGTGCAGCTTTTTCAAGTTCAGGACTAAACATAAAATGTTTAAAAGGTAGATCTGAGAATACTGTATGCATGGATGAACTGGTTTGGACACTTCGGACACACGGAGGGCCAGATCTAAGAGACAGCTCCTGTGTGTGTGTGTGTGTGTGTGTGTGTGTGTGTGTGTGTGTGTCTGTACCAGTGCAGCCAGTGGATCCCTTTTTGACAAAGTATCCCAGTTGACAGTGGCAGATGAAGGAGCCTTTAGTGTTCTCGCATTCACCGTGGAGACAGATGTTTGGGTTCAGGTCACATTCGTTCACATCTGGGCAGACAGGGATGGACACAAGGCTGGTTTTGAGTGTGGAGGTCAGAGTGACAAAAAACAAGTCTGACAGAGATGTCGTTTTCATCAGAGTATAAATGAATTTGTGTGTCAGAGAGAAAAAAAAACAACACTGAACGAGTTTGAAAAGAATTGCTGATCCTCCTACCGATACAGGTCCTCATGTCCATGGAGGCCATGAATCCATCAAAACACAAGCAGCGGTATTCCCCAGGAATGTTGGTGCACTGACCTCCATCACAGATATCTGGAGTCTCTTCACACTCGTCAATATCTATCAATACACCACAGAAAGGGTTTATCCTCATGTTTACTCTTCAGACTAATGTAGAAAWACATTAAAATGCAACAAAGTGAAATATTTCCTTACAGTACGTGTCAAATAAAAGGTCTGTGGGCCCAATGTGRCCCACTACGACATTTCATGTGGCCCGCGAGAGATTCAAAGTATCAGCTTTAATGATAAACTACATCCCCCATWATGCATGTTGATTAGTTCATTCATGAAATGATGGCCTTCCACCACTAGGTGGAGGTGTAGGGAGTTCAAAGTAGCTGTCAGCCGACAAAATTCATTGTGTAAAATCTCCATTTCACTACATTTTTTACCGGCTACTTTTTTCTGCAGCCCAGTTGTACTGGGAAGTAGAAATTTCCCAATTRCAAGTTGTAAATTTAAATTACAACACCACTCCGGTGGGAATTTCCTGTTGGAAATTAGGACAGTTCAGAATTCAAGACAGCAGCTACTCGCCACAACTCAACAGTGAGTAAAACTGCCTTACTTTTATTTTTAATTGTATTTTTATATTATTTACTTTACATTTAATCAGTCATACATGTAGTACTTTTCAGTGTCTATAAGAGAATGTGTTAAAACACTGTTTCTATGCAGGAAATACTATGTAGAGCTCAGTTATTGATAGCAATGCTCAGCTGTAGCAACAAGACGAGAAATGTGATGTTTCGTGTTTAGTCAAAGTTAAACACAAAACTTTGAAGTTAATTACAACTGGCTCTTTGAGGGCCACCATAATGCTTAATGTAGCCCTAGATGGAAATGAGTTTGACGCTCGTGCCTTACAGGAATTAATTTGAATTCATGTGTAAATATCTGTTCCATTACCTGAGCATGTTCTGAGGTCAGGCATCAGTGCATAGCCTTCACTACAGCTGCACTCATAGCTGCCCTCTGAGTTGGTGCAGTGAGTCTCACATCCTCCGTTCATTATGGTGCACTCATCGATATCTGCAAGGAGAGACCAGCACTACATTGTCAGAGCTCAGTTAGTGAGAACAGAAACACAAAAGATCAATATGCTGTTTTGTTGTTGTTATTTGACTCCACAATCTACAGTATTTGTGGTCAAACTTTCGGCTCCTCTTACCGACGCAGCCCTGTCGGTCTGGTGTGGCCTGGTAGCCMGTGTTACAGGAGCACTGGAATGTCCCTGGCATGTTGACACACTGACCGTTTCTGCACAGGTTCTCACTCAGCTGACATTCATTCATATCTGGAGCAGCAAACAGGTAGAGGCAATTAAACGTTAARGACTGTTCACTGTGAATAAAACAAAACCAAAAGAAAAGAAATCTGTTAACTGTGATAAAACAACCGCTTTGTTCTCACATGGTCAGTAAAAACACCCGTACAAGTGTTGAAAATGACCAAATAGGCATGAATTCTAGCTCAAAACTGTTTCTCATTCTGAATTTGTTTTGCTCAGAGCGAAATTTATTGGTAGTTAGACACTTATTATTGTTCTGCACAGATTATTCTGGTAGAATTGCCATTGAGAAGTCAGTTTTAGAGCAAAACAGGGCTGATCTCAATCTCGATGCCTGTCAATCAAATGTTAATTTTTTTTTTTTATAAATAAAATGTTTTTTCAAGATAATTTCTTAGACATACCCACATTTCAAATTCTATTTATGCTTACACATGTTCCAAATTGAAGTAAAAGAATAAAATGCAGTATATTCTTTTATTTTAAAATGTTAACAGAATCTG